CGGCCTCTTCAACTGGGATGCGTTTCCAAAAAAGAAACGTTTCAATTGTCAACAAAATGTGCGTAGTTTCTTCGAGTCCGCTGTTGGGGTGGCTCTAGCATTGATAAGTGGATCGTCGTATGCCGTAAGCTCTATATTTGTTGTGCTGGCCCAGAATCAGGGAATCACCCAGTACCAGATCAAGTTCATCACAGGGGTTGTCGGAACAATGGTCTTGGTTCCCTGTGTCATATATCGAAAAATCGACCTTCGACTTGACAATTGGAAAGATAGGATTGCTTTGCTTGGGAACGGTGCTGTGGGTGCTGTGGCATGTATATCGCTGTTATATGCTCTACCGAATGCACCGTTAGGAAATATTAATGCTATCATTCAAGGTACTCTGTCTGTTTTCACTGCCATCTTGGCATGTGTATTTCTAAAGGAGATGTCTCGACCGTCCGAACTCGTTGCTTCTTTGCTTAACGCGATCGGCGTGTTGATAATAACCCGGCCCCCATTTCTCGTTCCCGCTCACGCCGCCCCAAGTAGCAAGGAAACCATGGCATATATATTAACTATTGTTGCTGTTGTTGGTATATCAGCAGGTTACGTCATTGGAAGGTACGTGAGGGGACGTTTACACGTTTTCGCTGTTATGTTTTACAATAGTTCGATTGTGGCCGTTCTGAACTGTGTACTAATGGTAATTATAAGGCCTCCAAGTTGGAGTATCCCTCCGCGTGCCGCCTCGTTTATTATTGGTGTTTGCGTATCAGGATTGCTCAGTACGTGGACAAGGTATAAAAGTCTTCAACTGGAGTCAGCTGCTACAGTAGTACTTTTATCCAATGTTCAGATAATTATATCTTATCTCGCAGATATATTCATATTTCACTACACACTGCATCCGCTCGACTTTGTTGGGGCTGGTGTGGTTGTGATGGGTTCGGTGGTCGTATCCATCTCAGCATATCGTAAGAGAAAACAAGACAATGACGCAAACGACGAAAACATCCCAGATGAAGAAAAGTCATTGCGTGAAGAAGAGGAGGACGATGAATATTAACTTTTAGTAATGACATAAGTATGTATTTTTAGAAATTCGCTGGGGAAAGCATCAGCTGCAAGTGGATATTGTAGAAGTGATAAGCAAAAAAAAAACATGCCAGGAAATACGAATAATTAATTTTCTAATTTGCATACAACATTTCTGGGTATAGTAGATTCCGCCTTAATGGAATAACATGAGCATAATTTCACTCTAAATTAGGTGTTTATGTGACGCACCTGTATTAAGGGGATCTATTACTTGACGTGTGGGTCCAGTATTGGAACGTTATGTGTGGGTCCAGTATTGGAACGTTATGTGTTGTGTCGCATTGAATCAACACTCAACACTCAGGGGACAAGACGAAGAGAGAAATTGTATGCTTATAAAATATTCATAAATATGTCTTGTCTCACAGAATACATATAACCAACCAACCACAACATGTACTTGCATAACGCATTTCTATATTCATTATATTATACATATTATAAAGCATTTTTTTCAAACGCTATCATGGAAGGTACACGGGTTAATAGTTACCATCGTCGTGTCGTACTTTGAATGCACATTTCAATTAAAGGTTAGGTCAGATAAAGACCACATTTAGAGTGACGTCATATTTGTATTCAAACACAATTCGAGTGTCGTTTTGCTCTGTCAGTGGTGTATACGATTACGTAAATGACAGAGATACGTCACAGTACGTCATATTTTATTAATTCAGCATACAATACATGTATCTAATAAAGCGAATACAGTACAGCGAATGACCGGATGGATGTCGGATCTAAATTTAATGTTTTGTATTCAATTCATAGAAATCAATATAAAAGACGTGACTTCCACAGGAAATGGCATATTCTCTATAAATCACGTGTTCATTATATATTGTCATTTCACTGTTACATTGATGCATAGCTACCACACTAGACCACAATTATAATACATACTCAAGAATAATCTCTAGAAATTTATTGGATGTTGTTCATAATAAAATTTGATTAAATATAATTATTTGTAATTATGCAATTTCATCTTCTGACAATTATTGAGCAACGTTTTTCTTCTGCGACGAGTGAAATACTGTTGATATGTAGGCTTTACTGACAGTTGAACGATGGACACAAGGCCGCGGGCTTAGGATATTTTTCCATATCAGAAAAAAACGTGTTGTGCTTTTATCAAACATTTATGCCGACTCCCTGACGCCGTGCCCATAGTTTAAGGACGCGATGTGAGTAATAACAATTAGTGTTCGATATTATAGACACAATGAATTGGTGCGCATGCGTTTTAAATTACTGATACGTACACTAAATTCATACGAATACTATTGTTTCTTGTATGTACGAGAACACATCAACCAAAACAGTAAATAATTATCTATATTGTCTTTATGCAACAAAAATGAATAAACAAAACTAGTTGGTATTTTTCAGATAAATAAAAACAAAATCATATAATTAGATCCAAACAACCAATCAAGCATCTAAACGTATTCTCTAACATCGTACATATTCCGTGTCATCCTTTATACATACATTTATATATATTATCGTAAAATATGGATTTTTCTAAAAAAAAACAAAAAAACAGACTGAATGGTCAGCGGTTTTATAAAATAACAATTCCCATTATAACACGGTTAAGAATACGTATCTTGACGTACGACGTAGTGTTAGTACAGTATTACTATCATTACTATATTACATGCACACATAGGCTAGCTGCGATTATCTACATTTGTTTGGCTTAAATAAATCCATAAATAGTACCAAATCTTGCCGAAATATTGTTTTCGACACAATTAAGGGGCAAGTTGTCGACATTTCGTTTATATTAGTCATGTGATGTACGACTGAAACTATTGTGACAAATACAATCATCAGTGAGAGGCCGTAGTCTTAGCCTCTCAATATGGCACACATTTGACATTGCTCACAGGGTCTCCGATAAAGTTGTCATCTTGTACCGTAATCTCTGAGGTTTCTTTGACAAACTAGATGACACCTCTAGAGACATGCACACAGCCCAGGGGCCATCTTTGTCACGTGTCAGTCATGTAATGTACAACGTCGATATATAGCTATGTGTTGGCTATACCGAGTGTCCATATTTCGGTGATGGCGATTACAAATTGATAAATGTTTCATTGAAAAGTGTGACAAAAAATGATTTTGTGGCAGAACAGTATGGGAAAACATAATCCCGAGTGTGGTGATAAGGAATCCCGAGTCTGGTGGAAAGGAATCCCAAGTGTGGTGGAACACGATCTCGAGTGTGGTGCAACACAATCCCGAGTGTGGTGGAAAGGAATCCCGAGTGTGGTGGAAAGGAATCCCGAGTGTGCTGGAACACAATCTCGAGTGTGATGGAACACAATCCCAAGTGTGGTGGAAGAGAATCTAGAGTGTGGTGGAAGAGGATCTCGAGTGTGGTGAAACCAAATCCCGAGTGTGGTGGAACAGAATCCCGAGTGTAGTTGAACAGAATCCCGAGTGTGGTGGAACAGCATCCCGATAATTTCGAGTCAAGTAAGGAGTTGTATAATAATAATAATAATGACAAATAAATGAATGAAAAATGAAAAACTAATTAATGTACATAAACATTGAAAATTAAAAAGGATTTTTTATCATATTTGTGTTGGTTAAATATTTGATTTACTTATGTATGTACATGACCTTATCTTGGGGTAGATGACTTTATTGTTTTCAGTTTTTCTTCTCTTGTTTTGAAACAGTGTTCTATGTATTTTGCTATTTGTATTATTGTTTTCTCATCTTTATTATTTTAGTTTTTCTTTATTTGTTGCCAAATTTATAGGTGATAACCACTGATATACTTTTTTTCTTTCTCTTGCGTAAATATCACATATTAGTATAAAATGATCTTCATCTTCAATGGCGTTCTTTCAGATGTATCTGTGTTATTATATACCTACTAGTACTCTCAACATAGTTTTAGTGTATTCCACTGCAAGTAGAGAGTTCACATGTTCACAACATTTTGAGCGAAAAAATGTCTTAAAAAGCGCATCTTATTCATAATGTTGAACCGTTATTTGAAGCATTCAGTTATATTTGTATGGACACGTGTACCTTCATTTATGCTATCGATATGCAGTCCGTGTTATTGTCATGCGATTAAACGCACATGTGACGTGATCTTAGGACACCTATAGGGAAATGCTATTTTTAAATGAATACGAACTGAATG